ATTTTCAATGTTCCAGATACCTTTCGGCCACGGCCTCATTCATGGGTTCGACTGCACCGTGGGATCTACAAAGGAGATCTCGCCTACGTTCGGGAGGTTACTACTTATTCAACATTGCTCATCAACCTCCTTGTGGTACCACGCGTTGATTATGACCCACCCAAATTCAAAGGAAGCCGGATTATCGCATATGAGGACAGAAATAATGAGATGGACGACGAGTTTGCAGCGACCTACAAGCCTGACCGCGAGCTATATAGAAGAGCTTCAGCACCAGGGCGGCCTCGCCAAGCCCTCTTCAATCCGACACTGGCGAAGCAACGGTATCGACGGGCCTTTCAACAACGCAACAACCTGTTTTTATTCCGCGGAGTGTTGTACGATGCCGACGGATATGCCTATTTCTCAGAAGTCGACACGGATTGGTACACGGCAGAAGATGTAGTACCAACATTGAGTGAATTGGAACTTTTCAACACCTGCTCGGACATTCCTCTCAACGTCCGACAGCACACGATGGCGAGAATGTCAGCCAGGATCCTTCGGATAGGCGATGAGGTAAAAATCACGCACGGAGATTCAAGGGGGCTTCTTGGAACAATTATTGAAGTAACGGAAGGCGAAGCCATCGTCTTTTTGACAATGAAGGATGTAACAACTACCTTACCTTTTTCGTCGCTTCGAAAAGATCTCAAAGTAGGGGATGAAGTCCGCATTCTTTCGGGAGACCACAAAGGTGTTACAGGTTGGGTAGTGAATCAAAATGATGACTGCGTGTGCGTCTTTGATGACAGGACCGGTACTGAGGTGAATATCTTGCTTTATAATATATATGGCTCTTCTAACATTCTGTCATCTTGTAGATAGAGGCATCCCCTGGGATTGTTCAGTTCTTCACCTCCCCCTTCATCTTTGGAACGGGGTCCTCGGACTTGAAAGCTTCCTTCACAGATGCGCAAAAGCGTGTCATGAAGGGGGACTCCAATAGTCACCTGGTAGGAAGACATGTGATGGTCACCCACGGGAATTTTAGAGGTTACCGAGGCAGAGTAAAAAGCACAATTGGTGAGAAAAGGGTCTTCGTCGAGCTTGAGGCGCTCCTCCAACGCCCACAAATTTTGGACATCAGTTCTCTACACATCATGTAAGCCCATTCTCTTATTTTTCTGAATCGATACTAATTAGCTTCCAGCGCTGATGAAAGCCTTCAGCACCCCAGGCCTCGAGAGCTTCTTACCGACTTTACTTACCCACTCGAACCAGCACCTCCGCCTGGTACTCTGGCAGGCTTTTTGTTCCCTGGTTACCCCTTGCCAGATTCGCAACCCTCAATCCCATATCCCGCTCCTTTTCGTGCACAGACTCCGGCCATTGCAGGGCCATCTACTCCGCTTCCTAACTTGGAAGATATCCCGATGACCCCAGCTTGGAACCCAAGCTCACAAACCCCGCGCCGTGGTAATGATGGTAATTATGTTTCTGTTAGAAAGTCAATAGATACTGACAATTGTGGCAGCCTCTTCTCCGTATTGGCTCAGAGATGGCTGCTTCGCCAACATGAGACTCAGCCTTCGTCTCATCAACACCAAACCTAATTTTCACAAGGGCGAGCACGAAGATAAGTGTGGGGAGTTCAAGGGAGTGGTCGGAGATGCGGTCAAGGTCCAGCTAGGCTTCAAAGTGTTGGAAGTGCCATTTCCATACCTTATACCTGAAAGGCCGGAGTGCAAATCCCAGGTCGTTACCACATTTACCGGTCCACATAAGGGGTCGCAGTTTAGAATTAAGGAGTTTGGCGAAGAATTTTGTGGCTGCTCGATTTTGAGATCAACAACGCTTTTGAGAAAGGTTGATGTCAAAATCGCCACCAATGAACTGGTAGTCACCCGAGACAGTCGGCGATAAACTACATATACCGTAGATATATTACAACTGCCTTAGAGAGATTTTTTTGTATGTTTTACACATATCTTGATGGCAAGGTATATATTCTTGATCTTATTGCAAGACTTTGAGGCTTGAGATGACTGAACGAACGAACTTGAACACTCACGATTTATGACCGGCTTAGTCAGCTCCAGCCGGCTTCTTAGCCGGAGCTGGAACTAGCCGAGCTGTGGGAGCCATCACTCGGCGGTTCTGGCTGGGCTTCGGCTAAACTCGGCTCGGCTCCTGACTTGAGCTGGCTCCGAGCCGGAGCCGCGGCAACACTAGTGCATACTGAATGAGTCGCTGGTCTCCTGTGTCCAGACGTGGTTTGGTGGATGTTTGCCGGTGCAACAGCTCGCGAAGGACTTCTGTGATCCCGACCATCTGCATCATCAATAACCAGCCATCATGCATCAACCAATGTCACCCATCCGACATCACGCCGCAGGCTCAGGCGCCAGTTATTGGGCTTACTACTATCTCGACTAGGTATGTGTTGAACAAGGTGCACAGGTACCCAATCCCCGACGCAGCGAGAAAGTCGCAGCTGGTGGCCTAACTCTACGCGTTGCCAGTTTGAAATCTGCATTCAGCCCTACTCCTCGAAATCTCGCTCCGCCAAAACAACTGAAAAGTACATGATGCATCACACATCAAACTTCTCTGTATGTTACTCAAACCTACCACGTTCGGACCGCGAACACGACCACCAATGCAGATGTTTCGTGTATCTCGGTTTCCACTCGACCATCTGGCGTTACGTATGGGTTAGGCTTCAAGCTCTGACAAAATCTCCCCTCAATCGACATCTTGACCTTCTTCGCTATTCCTTCCTCCCTCCCCAGCACCCCACGGCTCATTACACTAGGCCTTCATCAATGGACGACATCGTGACTAGATTCAACGACCAAGACCCCGAGATACTATACTCCGGTGAATGGTTCTCGTCTGGTACTATACTCGATTACCTCAACACCACGACAATGACCTATTCGGCTGGGTCTGGCGTGTTATTCTATTTTACTGGTACGTACGCCTTCTCTCTCCCCTTCCGCTGAGCGCCCGGCTCGTCTTTTTACTTACTTGCTTACTAAAAATACCCGGGTTCATGTATAGGAACAAACATAAGCATCTACAGCGAAATAAGACCTCAGAAAGCCAACGGGGGCGGCGCCATATCGAACTACACCATTGACTCTGGTGTGCCTTATCAATTCATTGCCGTCCCGGAGGGAGAGGACCTGCATCAGCAACTGCTCTTCAGAGCCACGGGGCTGAGTTTGGAGCAGCATTTGTTGGTGATCACCAACGTGCTGAACAACACTCTGTCTCTCGATTATTTGGAAGTTGGGACAGGGTCTAGTGACTCCTCTAGCTTGACCACGCCCATTTCTTCGAACCCGACAGCCACAGCAACTCATTATGCCACAATTACAACACTTCAGACATCATCCGAATCAACTACAAGCCGCGTAGGTCCCCCGATAGGCGTGACAATAGGTGGTGCGATCGTCGGGCCCATGATCATCTCACTCGTGCTCTTCGCTTGCTTCTTTGCGTGCAGGAGACGACACCGGAAGAAAAACCTCCCTCTTACAGACTCTCTCTCTCCACCGCAGCTAGATATGTCTCACGCACCCGCAAGACGTTCCAGTATCACTCCATTCATCATTGGAGACCCGTCAGGGTTGTTTATGGGGCCGAGCTTGGGGAAATGCGCTACGCGTGGGAATGGGCAGGGCGTTGATGGAGGGGTTGCGCTAAATTGTGCACAGGTTCCGTTCTCTGCTGGTGGGAGACAGAAGAGTCGCAGTGATTTTCCGCCTAGGTGTACCGCTTTGGCACTGTGAGGTGAACATCTGTGGGTGTGGGTTGGGAAGGGAGGAGGGGGGTGAATGTTCTGTGGTTTTTATTCTCTCATGGCGTCATGGCAGAGCACGTTGCCGTTTTGAGTCGGACTTGACTGACAGGGACGGTAGAGTCTCTTCTCAAAATTGTAGTAGCTATTTTCGTGGCACCAGGAGTGTATTTTTAAAATAGGTATACAAACCGGCGAAAATTGTGTCAAGCGTGGAACCCAGGATCTTGACTCGGTGCCAGTGACTGCATTAGGGGTGCTCACGGTTCTCGTTTTGATCGGTTTTTCGTCTGTTTGTATAGACATAGGCCATCAAAAATAAATTGAAGAACGTACAGAAAAATGAGAACTGTGAACCTGCCCTCCTTGAAAATTTCAAACATGAGATAAAAAATGAGCGAAAAATGGAAGCGAAAATTTAAATTTTCGGCACCCCGTCTTGAACTCCGCATCTTGCTGCAGACCCAGCACGAAATGGTTAAACTCTCATGGAAATTACTAAATTGTCGCTCACTCGCCGTCAAGATGGGTGTCAATGTAAGGGGAGCCAGATTTTAAGACCCAAGGAGAACTTGTTTAGATTAGACTCGGAAAATTATTAAGGAGAGAATTTTGCACATGTTGTGGGGATGGAATAATTTTTTTTTGCATCGTCGTTGGGAGGGCGGAGGCGAACACTGAGGTACTTAAATGTCGATGGCCATCGCTTTCTTATCTCTGGCTGTGGGAAGTGGCACGTGATGCGGTTGAAAGAAATTTCGTGTTTCAAATTACATACTTATGCAACTTGAAACGGCTGTACCACCATCAAAAGAATTGGCCTCTGAAGCCTTCTGTCATGCAGAAATGTCTCGCTGCCAGACCTCGGATAAATAACAGTACTTCAACCTCCCACAAAGACGACTTCTTCGCTCCCCACTACAATTTTGCCGGAGCCCGAACAGCAACTTACATAACGCCGTAAACTTGGTATGCATCACTTCGACGTGGGGTGTTGCTGAAGGCTGACGACAACATGGTGTGATTGTCGTTGAATGCTGAATATGTGCTCTAATTGGCAGCAGGCTGCAAGGACACGAAGTATGCAGCTCACCCTTGGCTCACCCTCTCCGAGTCGCCAATCGAATGAGGGCGCATACTTATGTTGGGAGCTAGGGCCTCGATTGCCAGTGGATGTCTGTAGCTGATCAACCGCTACCGAATCCCAGGCCAGCTTACGGCTTACACTCGCACGTATGTATATCCGAGTCCTCCTGCGTATCTGCTCATCCCTGCACCTGGGCATGGTACTTTGTATTGATGATGAATAACTACGACTCCGATTCGAGGATTCCTGGGCCAATTCAAGGATAGGCGGTCTATTCATCTCATTCGAACCTTGGCACCTGCTTAATGCTGGAGGAGCTGCTGACCCAGTGCTAAAACTGCAAGTATAGTGCTTATGTGGCTCATTCTACTCTGCAGGCACATCTGCCACCATCAGATGCTGCATCATGCGTTGCAAATGTCAAATCAGCATTCGGCCCTACTCCCAAAACCTCGCTCTGCCTAACAAAAGTACATCACGCATTAAACTTCTCTGTGACTCGAGCTTACCACATTCGGACCGCAGTACCACCAATATAGATGTTGTGGGTATCTCTCTGTTTCCACTCAATTACGTATGGGTCAGGCTTCAAGCTTGGACAAAATCCTTAATTGTCATTTTGACCTTCTTCGCCATTCCTTCCTCCCTCTCCGGCACCCCACCGCTCATTCATCAATGGACTACGTCGTAACTATATTCGACGACCAAGACACCAGGCTACAATACTTCGGTGATTGGCTCAAGAATAATGGTGATGATCGACTCAATTACCTCAACACCACGACATACACCGGTTTCGCCGGGGCTGGCATGGTATTCAATTTTACTGGTACGTACACCTTCTCTCTCCCCTGTCACTGAGCGACCAGCTCGTCTTTTTACTTACTCGCTTACTGACAAATACCCGGGCTCATGTATAGGAACAAGCATAAGTGTTTACGGTCAAATACCAAGGCAGACATATCTCAACTTCCCCAACCCCGTATTGAACTACACCATTGACTTTGGTGTGCCTTATCAATTCATTGCCATCTCGGGGAGAGAAGACATGAATCAGCAGCTATTTTTCAGAGCCACAGGGCTGAGTTTGGGGGAGCATACTTTGGTGATCACCAACGAGGTGAACGATGATCTGCTGATTCTCGATTATTTGGAAGTTGGGACAAGTGGTGGTGGGTCTAGCGACTTCTCTAGCTTGACCACGCCGATTTATTCGAACTTAACAGCCCCAGCAACTCAGTACGCCACAATTACAGCACTCATTTCCTCAAGCTTCACGGCGACAGCAACTCACTACGCCACGGTTACGGCACTTCAAATATCATCCGAATCAACTACAACCCGCCTAGGTCCCCCACTAGGCATTACAACAGGCGGCGCGATCGCCGGGTCAATGATCATCTCACTCATACTCTTTGCTTGCTTCTTCGGGTACAGGAGACGACACCGGAAGAAAAACCTCCCTCTTACGGACTCTCTCTCTCCACCACAGCCAGATATGTCTCACGCACCCGCAGGATGTTCCAGTATTACTCCATTCATCATTGGAGACCCGTCAGGCTTGTTTATGGGGCCAATCTTGGGGAAATGCACAACACATGGGAATGGGCAGGGCGTCGATGGAGATCCCGGCAGCTCGGTCCCAGAGGCGGTTGCGCTACATTGTGCACAGGTTCCATTTTCTGCTGGTGGGAGACAGAAGAGTCACAGTGATTTTCCGCCTAGGTGTACCACTTTGGCACTGTGAGGTGAACGTCTGTGGGTGTGGGTTGGGAAGGGAGGAGGGGGTTGAATGTTCTGTGGTTTTTATTCTCTCATGGCATCATGGCAGAGCACGTTGCCGTTTTGAGTCAAAAAAATTATCCATAAAATACTTATGTTACAGTGCAGTCTCTGGTACTTAGCATTCCAAGATCCGGGGTTCTATGCTTTATTTTTTGAAGATTACGCTAAGACAGTACACTGCTGATGCTGTGAAAATAGCTACTTTAATTCGCAGAACGACAAGTCCAACTCAAATTGAACGGCAACGGGCTCCCTTATGAGAATAAAACCCACAGATCATCCACCCCTCCTCCCCTCCCAGCTCACACACAGGCGGTCACCTCACATCCGACAAAGCAGTATAGCTAGGCGGTAAGTCACTGTGACATTCCCCCCTCCCACCAGCAGAGGACGGAACCTGTGCACAATGCGGCACAACCCCCTCTGGAGCCGGGCTGCCAGGGTCTCTATCGGGGGCATGCCCATTCCTTGCGTATTCCCTCAAGCTCGACCCCGCGAACGACGCTATTGGATCTCCAATGACGAATGGAGTGATATCACTGGAACGTCCTGCAGGTGCGTGAGACATATCTAGTTGTGGTGAAGAGGGAGAATGTGGAAGGGGGAGGTTTTTCTTCCGATGTTGTCTCCTGCGTGCAAAGAAGCAAGCGAAGAGTATGAGCGACATGATCACAGTGGACCCGGTGATCGCTCCACCTATTGTAACGCCTATCGGGGGACCTACACGGCTCGTAGCAGACTCGGATGATGTTTGAAGTGCTGTACTTGTGGCGTAGTGAGTTGCTGTTGCCATTAAGCTTGATGAAATGGGCGTGGTCAAGCTGGAGGAGTTAGTAGACCCATCAGCACTTGTCTCGACTTCCAAATAATCGAGCTCCAGAAGACCATCCACTAGCTCATTGGTGATCATTAAAGTATGCTGTCCCAAACTCAGCCCTGTGGCTCTGAAAAACAGCTGCTGATGCTGGCTCTCTTCCATTTGGGTCGCAATGAATTGATAAGGCATGCCAGAGTCAATGGTGTAGTTCGATACGGGTGGTAGTAATCCGGTCCATACTATTATTGAACCGTAGACAGTTACGCCTGTTCCTATACATGCGCCCAGGTATTTATGAGTAAGCAAACAAGTAAAAAGACAAACCCGCCCCTCAGTGGAAGGGAAGAGAGAAAGAAAGCACACGTACCAGTGAAATTGAATAACACGCCAGACCCAGCGAAATCGGTACCTGTCGTGGTATTGAGGTAATCGAGTGGAGTACCAGCCTTGACCCATGTACTGGAGTATTGTATCCGGGAGTCTCGGTCATCGAATCTAGTTACAATGGGGCCCATTGATGAAGACCTGGCGCAATGAGGAGTGGGTTGCTGGGGAGGGAGGAAGGAATGGCAAAGAGGGAGGATTTTGTCAGAGCTTGAAGCTTGAAGTCTGACCCATACGAAAGTAATTCCAGAAGGTTGAGTGGAAACAGGGAGATGTACGCAACATCTGCATCGGCGGTCGTAACTGTGGTCCGAACGTGGTAGGTTTCAGTAACATACAGAGAAGTTTGATGTGTATGTACTTCTCAGTCGTTTAGGCGGAGCGAGATTTGGGGAATTAGGGCTGAGCGCTGAGCGCTGAATGCAGATTTCAAATTTGCATCGCTACCGTTGCCGACAAGGACATGGTCAAGCTTCTGGTATTCGACTTCCTTTCGGAAAGATCCTCTCTGAGTTCTCGGTTGCTGGGGTCCCCGTTACCGTCACAGAGATTTCATTTATATAATCATGTGACCTAATGCATCCATCAGCAAAACCTGGGTGAGCTAGGCAGCACGTGGCAGGGCTGTGTAGTGCCATAGCACCATAGAAAGGGGTATCACCTTTACAGTCACCTGCGCGTTCTATGCAGCTCTACATAGAAACGCACAGCCACTACACAGCACTCCCTAGAATCTCAGAGCAGATCTGCAGCCATTCATAGAAACACATAGCCACTTCATAGTGCTCCCTAGAATTACGGAGCAGATCTGCAGCCCTCAGTAGCAACCCCTGGGGTCTGCAGATTCCTAGAGGGGGGGCATACATTCTGCTCATTTTAATACCATATTGCATGATTTTTACACAGAACTTGTGTTACGAAAAAATAAGTTTATTGTCTGCGCTACTACATTATACAAGATATCCTAATATTCTACATAGTATCAAGTATTAAAGATACTAAGAGGATGCCATTCGCCAACAAGGAAGGTAGGACGGTTGTTCGTCGAGGGACGGAGCCGTTCTTCAAAGGAGGGAGGACTCAAAGGAGGGAGGACGCCATTCGTCGACAAGGGAGGGAGGACGCCGTTCTTCAAGGGAGGGAGCCGTTCATCAATGAGGTAGGGAGGACACTGTTCGTCGACAACAGAGGGAAGATGTGTTTGTCGACAAGCGAGGGATGACGCTGTTCTTCAAGGCAGGGGGAACACCATTTATCAACGAGGGAGGGAGGACACCATTCGTCGAGGGAGAAACGCCGTCCGTCAAGAAGGAAGGGAGGATGCCGTTCGTCGACGAGTGAGGGAGCAGTTCGTCAAGGGAGGACACTGTTCATCGGGGAGCCGTTTGTCGAGGGAGGGGGGCCGTTTGTCAAGAGGGAGCCTTTCGTCAAGGGAGGGAGCCGTTTGCCGAGAGAGGGAGCCATTCATTGAGGGAGGAGTTGTTTGTCGACGAGGGAGCCGTTCGTCGATGAGGGAGGGATCTTTTCTTTAAGGGAGGAAGCCATTCTTCACGGGAGCGAGCTGTTCTTCAAGGGAGGCAGGGAGCCATTCTTCAAGGGGGGGAGGAAGCCGTTCTTCAAGAGAGGGAGGATGCCGTTCTTCAAGGGAGGGAGGACACCGTTCATGGACGAGGGAGGACACCGTTCGTCGAGGGACGCGGTTCGTCAACGAGGGAGGGAGGATGCTGTAACTCGACGAGGGAGGACACCGTTTGTCGAGGACAAGTTGAACATTGTGGTGGGAAGGAAGAACAATGAATTTCCGTGTTGGGAAATTCAAAGTTCAACATAATCACATGATGTCGGAGTTTCAACGGACTTGAACGAATTGTCTCGCGACTTGAAGTTGTTTGTCGCCTGTCACTGTCTTTCACAGAAAGCATGGCATTCGAGGTGGGCATTCACAATTGTAGATGGCACCATGTAATCAGGCAAATATAAAGTTCATATTGGAAAATTATTGAACAATTTCCGAGCCTTCCAAGAAATTTGCAGTTGTTACCAGAAATTTCCTGGCTATTTCCATGATTTCCCGAAATTTCCTGTTTTTTGGTAGTAGTAGTAACAATTGAAGTTGTCTAAGTTCGAAAATGTGAGTTGAGCGCGGCACGTGACTTCCCGCAACTGTACCGACTTCCATCAATTCACACTTACACTTTCTAGGGTAGCTCATAGCTATAACTTCACGAGTATTACACCGTTTGGCCTCTATGTAGGCTTATTTTAATCGCTTCATTCACGCGAATGCAATCCAATTTACGGCGTAGAAAAATTTGGAGTACCTCACGAACTGTAGCATAAACTATTTGGCCTGTATTAGACATCTGAAATATATATTATCATCATGAGTTCTGCTCCGTTTCATGCGATTTTGGGCTTGTTAGAAACGCACAAATTTGAGCTTTAAAACGGGTCTGAGAGCCCCTAATATTTCGACGTTTAAGGCGACCTCCGATAACATTTACCGTTTTTAGGCAGATTCTTCACCAGTAATTGGTCCAAAGCCATTTGAGTTTTGAACTAAATACTACGTAAATAGACGCGTTGGAATCGGCTTGAACACCACTTTCCAACGCAAAAAAAATCACAAAAGACGAATATGTTTTGCAAAAGATACTTCATATTCTTTCTTGTTGCAATCAATCTTTGTAGGTCAATCAATCTCTGGACAGTGTTGTACTTTCTTCTTATTCCAGGCGTATTTTGGTCATAAATTATTCATATACAATAGGGAATGTGTTTTCTACTGAAATCTAGTATACTTGTAGTTTGACTCCCTATAAGGGCTGGGTAGAAAGTGGAGGCCCCTCTACAGCACCCTATAGTAACGGCACAAGTCTCTGTAGTGCTGTATAGCACAAGCTTACACCCACACAGTGCTGTGGAGCGCTGTGTGGCGCTAGGGCATCTAGCCAAACTTGGCGTGTAACTATGGGAAACTATGATATTAGCGGAAGCACTATGCCTGTCTACGTGGGAAAATCAGGTTTTGCTGATGTCGTGTCGCGTCCGCTCAGCGCCTCCAACCCCGCCGCTTCGTCCACTGTGAGCATCCTGCTCAAAATGACATTTATTTACAGGGTTGGTTTTGTATGACAAATCCTTTAAATTCCCTCCTGTGAAATCTGAGCTCATTCAGAAAACTGACGGTGGATTGGAGAGAAAAATCAGATCACCGTCAGTCCGTCACAGCCTTTTTAAATTTCTCTTATTATTTTCCAATGTAATTAATCAAGGTGTAGAATATGACGTGTGAAGGTATGTTTCACTTAAAAAAACCCATTTCACTTCTTTATCACACTTGCTCGCGATCCTCATTTTGAACTACAGGACACGCATAATGGGGTAGCGAACTTTAAAGATAGGTTGAGACTGTAAATTCACTGAGGTATTCTAAGAATAAACGAGGGGAACTGCTGGTGCCACGAAAATAGCTACTACAATTTTGAGCAGGAACTCTACCGTCCAGAAGGTTCCGAATTTCGAGAGTCCGAACCGCCGCCGATCCGCCTGTCCGCCTGTCTGGTTCGCACGGCACCTGCCGCCACCAAACAAGGTCACGAGCGTTTTCACCCTTACGCCGTTCGTGCATCGAGGCTCGACTGTCACTGTGAACCTTTTAGTGGTATCCGCCAAGTTTCCACTCCAAAGCCTAACATGGGTGCCAGCAATCCAGCGCTCAACTGTGGGCCTGATGCTCAACTCACGACCCTCATCGCCAACGCGAACCTAGGTGACCAGCCTGGCTTCGATTAGAAAGGCGCTGATGGCAGCGGCGTAGGCTCCTTCGCTTCAAGTTTTGTCCAATCAAAATCGCTGACCATCTTTTAGTGGCCTCACAATACTGGCCCAATGCTCACATATCTGGCATCTTGAGGGTCAACGACCTGTGACAGGTTTGACGCACAACCTGCCGAAGTTTAAGATCGACGTAGTATCATGTACGACGTGCTCCTGGCTCTAAGTTTCTCCCGAATTTGCCAACGATCCCCCCTTATGTACAACAGTGTCCGGCTCCCTCGCAAGCACACAACTCCCATCCAACCTCGCGCTAGGAAACTACCTCACCCGCCACGAAATCATTGCTCTCCATCTCGCCAAATCACTCGGCGGTGCAGAGTTTTACCCCGCCTGTTCGCAGCTTACGGTTGGCGCATCGGGCACTGGAGTCCCTGACCCTTTGGGTGGTCACTTGCCAGGCGCGTGCAGCGACAACGACCCTGGCATCTTTGATTCCCAGGTATTCGATGCCTGTGCACCATACATACACCTTCCCCGGTCCTCCTGTCGCTGCATTTGTGAACGGTGGCACTTCCACTCCTGGAAACGCAACCACAACCGCATTTTCAAAGGCAACGGCAACCCAGACCGGTGGTGCCACTGGGACATCGACGACGTCTAAGGGGAAGATGTGCAAGCTCAAGAAGGGCAAGTCTGCCTCTTCGTCGTTCGTTCCATTGGCCTCCGTGGCAGCAGCCAGTCCCACCACCACCGATATGTACCCCCGACACTTCAGCAGGGCCATGCGCGACTTGCGCTCGGCCGCAGTATCTAAAATGCCTCTGACCACAACACCCCACGACATGCACGCTCGCGATTCTGACTGCTGTTTAGATCCCGCCTTGTTGTATTCATACCCGGTCATTCATATTATAGGATGTATAGTACATTGCTATCATTGCAATAAACATTTGTTGATGTTGGCTTGGACGCGAAGTTCACTCTTTAAGCACGGTTACTGAGGGTCAATGGAAGCATCGTTTACTGATTCAGGTTTTGTCAAGGTTTTGTGAGATCCTGGCACCTACCTTGGGGGGACCCGGTCAACGTCAATAGTTGGCAAGTAGATTTTATTCTGGCACGAAGTCGAACTAAAGATCTGCACGTGACAATGCTGCCTTAGGCGACAGGCGGATCGGCGGATCGGCGGCAGTTCGGACTCTCGAAATACGGAACGTCCTCCTACCGTCCCTATCAGTCAAGTCCGACTCAAAACGGCAACGGGCTCTGCCACGACTCCATGAAAGAATAAAAACCACAGAACATTCACCCCCCTCCTCCCCTTCCAACCCACCCCGCAGGCGTTCACCTCACACCGACAAGGCGGTATACCTGGGCGGTAAGTCACTGTGACTTTCACCCCTCCCACCAGCGGAGGACGGAACCTGTGTACCAAGCCGCACAACCCCCTCTGGAACCGAGTTGCCAGGATCTCTATCGACGCTATGCGCATTCCCACGCGTTGTGCCCTTCCCCAAGCTCGGCCCCATAAACAATCGTAACGGGTCTCCAATGATGAATGGAGCGATACTGGAACGTCCTGCGAGTGCGTGAGACATATCTGGTTGTGGTGGAGAGAGAGAGTCCGAGAGAGGGAGGTTTTTCTTCCGCTGTCGACTCCTGCGCACGAAGAAGCAAGCGAGGAGTATGAATGATATGAGTATGGACCCGGCGACCGCGCCACCTATTGTAACGCCTATCGGCGGATGTACGCGGCTTGTAGTTGCTTTAGATGATGTATGAAGTGTTGTAATTGTTGCTGTCGCCGTGAAGCTCGAAGAAGGGAGTGCCGTAATTGTGACGTTCTGAGTTGCTGAGACTGTTACGCTCGAGGAAATGGGCGTAGAGGAGTAGCTAGACCCATCACCACTCCCAACTTCCAAATAATCGAGAATCAGCATGGTGTTGTTCCGCTCGTTGGTAATCACCAATGTATGCTGCCCCAAGCTCAGCCCTGTGGCGCTGAAGAACAGCTGCTGATGCATGTCCTCTCCCTCCGGGATGGCAAGGAATTGAGAAGGCACACCAGAGTCAATGGTGTAGTTCGATAGGGTGGCAGGCGCGTTACCTTCCAGGAATACTATCTCGCCGTAGACACTTATGCTTGTTCCTATACATGAGCCCGGGTATTTGTCAGTAAGTGAGTAAGTAAAAAGACGAGCCGGCCACTCAGTGGAAGGGGAAATAGAAGGCTTACATACCAGAAAAATTGAATAACACGCTAGACCCAGCGAAAGTGGCAAATGTCGTGGTGTTGAGGTAGTCGAGTATAGTACCATTCCGTGGGATCCATATGCCGGAGTATTGTATCTCGGGGTCTCGGTCATCGAATTTAGTTTCAATGTGGTCCATTGATGAAGGCCTGGCGTAATGAGCCGTGGGGTGCTGGGGAGGGAGGAAGGATTAGCGAAGAAGGTCAAGATGACAATTGAAGGAAGGATTTCGTCAGAGCTTGAAGTCTGACGCATACGTAATGCCAGATGGTCGAGTGGAAACGGAGAGATACACGAAACATCTGCATTGGTGGTCACAACCGCGGTCCTAACGTGGTAGGTGTGAGTAACGTACAGAGAAGTTTGATGTGTGATGTACTTTTCAGTACTTTTATCGGAGCGCGATTTCTGGGAATACTTAGGGCTGAATGCGGATTTGAAATTTGCAACGCATAGAGTTCGGCCGCCAGCCGCGAGTTTCTTTCTGCGTCGGGGATCGGGTACCTGTGCTGGTTCAACACATACCTAGTCCAGATAGTGAGTCCAATAACTGGCGCCTGAGCCTGCGGCGTGATGTCGGATGGGTGACCGTTGTCAACGTTGATGGCCCGTTATCGATGATGCAGATGGTCGGGATCACAGAAGTCCTCGCGAGCTATTGCACTGAAGTCCATCTTACCTTACATCATGATTTTGGGCAAGTTTACGACAGACTTCGGCTCGCTGGGGGCCAAAGTTGAGATCGCGTACAATCCGCCAGCCGCATCAGTAAAAATGGAATTCGAGAGTAGGGCCGGAATTTTAGAGAGACGACAGAAGGGTCCATGTTGATTAGACTACACGTCCAGGCGCTAGTACCGTGCATAAGACCGCTAGCGCCATCAAGAGTTTCGGTGCGTAAGACCATTGGCGCCTGTACTGGTGGGTTAAAGACTAGTGTACAAGACAGCTGGCGCCGGTACAAGTGCATGAGACAGCTGGCGCTGGTACTGTTTTTAAGACCACAGGCGCTAGAAGACAGTCAGCTCTGTTATCGTTTCAAAGATCACTGTCGTTCGTACCGGGTCATAAGGTTTACTCGAACTGGTAGCTTATCGGTGTGTACAAGACCAATCGCCCCGTGGGATCGATAACGCGTCAAAGATGGCGGGCGTCTTTGTTCATGAGAGATATGGCTCGGGGGTGACGGCTATTATATGAGTTGGTTGGAGGATATATGCGCGGAATGGAGTAAGGGGGAGGTGTGGTGTTGGATGTATATGTTTGCATGGAGGAGGGTTTCCTGCATAAGACGACTGGTAATAATGCGAAAGAGCGCTGGCGTTTATACCAGCGCACACGACCGCTGGAGCTGGTATCGGTAGATAAGACCACAAGCACTGATACCAGGGCACAGGACCATTAACACTGGTATCGGTTGAAAAATCATAGACGCTGATACCGGGGCATATGTATATGCAAGGCCAAGTGGCCGGGGTCAGGACATGGTCGAACACGCCGCCGTTACATAATGATATCCAAGGGAGGGTGGTATTCCGGTGTGCATGCGCGGGATGGGGTGAGGATGTATGCCTGGAGGAAGAGGAGGGAAGGGAATTGAAAGGTGTATATATGCGTCGGAGGGGAGAGAGGCGAGGTATAGGAACGAAGGACTTGGGGATGAGCGGGGAAAGGCAGGGTGAGGGTCATAAATCACGGATTAGGTTGTCGGAATTGGATTGAGATAGAGCGCTCTCCCTTCAGCTTATGTATATCTGACAAGATGCGCTATCATCTGATTATAAAACGTCAGAGAAAGAAACGACGACTCAAGTTCGCGAGATGTTCCGGTTATAACTTGAGCTCCAACTTTCGACTCGAATTTGAATGGGCAATATTAGGTTACATTTTTTTCTGATTGTCCTCCATAAGTAAAATAGAATAAAGTGCTGCGGCTTAATGAGAATCGAAGAACGGGACGAGAAAGGGAGACGTACAATAGCATTACACGCCTATGTTGAGTGTACATCTTCTCTCCTTTCCCTCGATGACAACTCGTCTAAAAACCCTACTCCTCCCTCTCCCTCGACGCACCGGCCGGACTCGTCCCAGAAGCAGCAGCAGCAGCAACCGCACTTGTCGTTCCCGTCTACACCACATCAGCCCTCCTGTCCCCTCCAGCAAACCAAAGCAGTCAAACCAAAACTCACCTGCCTCAGCTTCGCCAAATGTATCTTCAACGTCTCCGCATAATTCTCAAACCCCAACGTCCCCATCGCATACAGTATATCCTCCCCCCCAATCGTCTTCCGTTTCTCCACTTGGCACTTCTCCGCCGCTTCGGAGGTGATGAAGGATATGAACTCTGAAACGCATTCCTGCACGCATTCTTTGGCGTCTTTTGCGATTTTGGCGGTGGAGGGGACGGAGGCTTTCATTATTCGCGAGACGTTTGCTATCTGTTTCAATATATATGCGGTGAGAAGGGAGGGAGGGAGGGGAAGAGGAGGGAAGAAAGGAAAGAAAGAGAGACTAACGGGTAAAAAGCGGTCTTGTTCCCTGTACTCCCCCACCTCTTGCTCCGTTATCGGTGTTGGCTCTGGCGCATCTTCTGGAGAGGGTACGACGAGGGGCGCGGTGTCTTTGTCGCGCGGGATGATGGGCTGTAGGTCGGTCGTTGACATGCCCAGTGCCGTGTTACTGTAAACTTCTAATTTGTAACTTGTAAAAGGCGCTTGGGATGAATCGGAACAAAGGAAGTTGGATGGGTGGTGTCAATGAGTACGACTTGAACAGCTTGGCGTTACGATCTTGATAGAGAAATTCTTGAGCTTGCTTGCCGAGCCTGGCCAAGGTCGTTGGTGGTGAAGCTGAAGAGCGCTATGAAATCAGAAATGCATTGTTGTTTTCAAGGTTGCGGAAACAAAATGTCAGATGGCAGTGCAGTGCAGTGCTTTGACGATAATCAATTTGATCACCCTGCACCCTGCAGTGATCGTGACTCGTGAGCAGGTAAGATTTTGTCGACCAATGAAATATTCGAATTCCGTCCGAGCACCGAGGGATTCAGTGTAAAATTCCGTATTACAGATTTACCGTACATACTGGAAAGAAAAAAACAACTTCACTCCCCCCAAAAACCAGTGACTTCAAGGTGACTTATTTTTCTACATGTCTAGCCAAGTATGTCCCTACGCCGATAGTAGAGAGCAATTAGGGTTGACACGCCCAGAGAAAGACGAAAACGCACCCTAATAATTTGGACAGTGGAGTGCGCAATGAGATCGAAGCGTGTTTGTCGACTACGTATATACATCATGCAATGACGGAGAGATGGTATATCAAAAGAATGTATATAACTCGAAAGCAAACTTGCATCCCTCTCCCCGTACACCCTCAGACCTCAGCACCCTAACACCCCGCAGGAAGCGTCGCATCATCCACAAACTTCGCAGTCGCCTTCAACCCAAGTCCACGGCTCGCAAACGCCTTGGCAATAATACACTTATTCACCCCGTTGAACCTGTTCTGGTCGGCTTGAATTATCGCGTCGCGTGCCTGGATGACTGAAAAAAAGAATGTCAGCGTCAGCGTTCGGAGCATAAAATAAAGAGGAAGGAAAAGAGAAAAGAAAGCACCGAAAACAAAGGGAGCAAGGAAAGGAAAGAGAAACGCACAAGTCGGATTACAAGGCTGAATAGCAAGTGCATCCATCATAACCCTCATAAACACAACATTCCCCTCCTTCGCACCCGCATCCGTCAACTTATTACTCGAAAACCCGCGTGCAGCTACAAGCGCAGCGTACACCTGATGCAACATATTAGCCCACACCTCCCCAATATCATGCACCTCCGTGAGCTTCTGCAAACTCGAGTACCGAAGGGGGTTGGTGGTTGCGGAGGTCGAGTAGGGGAACGACCGGATGCCTTTGGCGCGGTTCGCGACGTATTGGCCGACGATGAAGTCTTTTGTGGTTCCGGAGGATTGGGCCATCCAGCTGGTGGGAAGGGGTTAGTGAGGTGTTTAACGGGGAGAGGGAAGGGGGTTGGGGAAAGTGGAGGGGAACGTACTCGGCCATAGCATCACTCCACCCCTCACCCATCCCACCCGACTCTGTAGTCTGCAAGCACCGCCCTGTACCACCCCCCGTCATACGGTTAGTAATCCCATGGGTCATCTCATGGATCACAATATCGTTCTCCATCGTTCCATCACGGCGGGGCTAAAAAGAAGACAAAGTGTCAAAAACGCTGGTGAAAAGCGAAAAAAAAAAGAGGACCCACGTTGGTAAGTGTCCAGATGAACATCCTACATTGCCCCGACTGCCCACTACCATCCACCATCATCAGCTCATCCATCCTTCCCAAAAACGACTCAGAAACTCACTCAGGCGGCGTAGCGAAATTCGCATTATTAACCCCCGACGCATCCTGCACACTCATCAAAACCCTATCCCCCTCCTTCCCGCCCTTCCCAAGATTACTCTGCTGGAAATTAAACGCCTTTTCCGTAAACCCATACCGATACGCAAAGTCATGCATAGTATTAATAATATAAAACGCGTTTGTTTTGGCGGCATCGATGTTGGATGATGTGGTGGGATCTTGGGAGTCTGTGTAGACTCTGTTGAAGTTTAGGTTTGTGGAGGTTTGGGTGGATGTGGCGGTTTGGGAAGACTTGAAGGATATGACGTTGTTTCCGCTATATAAAATAATAAGGAGGGGTGTGGATAGAAGAGGGAGAGAAAGGGGACGTACGCTGTGGTTGTCGAGTTTCCCGAACCAGTGTTGTGCCACCCCAAAGGGGAGGATTGGAGATCTTCTGGATCGCGTAGCGTTTCGAGGCCTTCTGGGAAGGTTTGTTTCGTGATCGGGAGGACGGTGTACTGCGTAAAGCATGAGCGGGGCCGAACACCACAACAAGAAGAAAAAAGAACATACAGAAGCATGAGCAACGAAATCAGTAACGCTGATCAACTCCCCACTATGCCCATCAATGAACGCCTCATACCACGCATCGGTCTCCTCGTTCCGGATTTGAAGGACGTGCGTGAGGGCGACGGAGCCGTCGGGTTTGACGAGGTATTCGAGTGTTGGTTCTAAGCCGTTGTGTTTCCCTTCCAAGGCGGATTCGATGGCGGGGAGGGCGGATTTCCAGGTTATGGAGGGGGTGGAGGGGGCGATTTGGGCTGGATGGCGGGAGTTGGTAAGGCATTGAGAGAGAGAGAGAGAGGGGAGGGACGTACCTGTCTTGGGATCGACAAAGGAAGACCCGTAGGAAACGACTTTGTCACCGTGAAAGGCGACGTTCGCGACTGCGTTGGCGAATGGGACTCCGTTCTGTAGTAAAGATATGTTGGTGGATTTCGAAGATAACGGAGGGTGGCACGTACATAAGACTGCTTGATGTATGCAAACCTAGCTTCGCCCTCTGTATACCCAGACTTCCAAGCCATATGCTTGGGATCGACGCCGGTGGATGAGATGAATGACATGGCGGACTCGTTGAGCGGTTCACTGGATCCAGTGAAGGATGACGAGGAGGGTGCACCGTCCGCGCCGTACGTCTATCAACAAACCAGCGCGCGTCAATATAAAAAATAACAATAGGAGTAGTAGGAAAGAGACAGACCTTGAACGTGTTCTTGGGATGATACACCTCAAGTTTCAACCCTCTGCCAACATGCCTAACCCTATGAGTCGCGTGCTTTGAACAAGAGGGATAAGGGGTCGCCTGGACCGAGGAGATGGTTGCGAGGAGGACAGTGACGAGGAGAGGAAGGAAAGACTTTTGAATTGAGAAAGCCATTGTCTAAATGGTAACTAATAGTGGCACGACCTGAGCGTGTTGAATGAATAAAGAATGAAGGAGTGAGAAAGAAAGGAAAAGAAAGGAAAGATGAGTGGAGACAAGGATGGTTGAGCGCCGTTGGTCCTTATAACAACCACCTGGGCTTGGCTCATCGTGAACTTGTGCAAGCCAAGGGAAACAAAGCACAACGCGGCATTACCACATTCACCTCTTACGCCTGCAACTCAAGACACGTCCTCCACAACATCGGTGCCACTCACCTTTATTCAATCATTGAAGGCTGAATCTCCTCTTTTCAGTTGTAGCATTTGTGTAAAGTTGCGGGAACTACGACGTAGTGACTCTAAGTACTATCATATAACCATCCCAGCAACCACGCAGAATATCAGTATTCCCTACTTGTCCTAATGCGTCGGTACCCAACGTTCATACTCAAATCATCACTTCCGAATCGACCACTCCTACTCGTAACGCGGACCTTCTGTTCCCCAAACCCACCCCTCACATCACAGTAATGCAGCGGCGTGTCGTCACTAACAAAAGGGCCTTGGTAGCCTAGGCCAAGCTCGAGCTGCCCACGCAAAAGGCGGTCTTCAGTGTGCTCGTAACGACGTCCGAGAAAGTTGACGTTGGGATGGGACGTGGACACCTTGCCTCCTGCGTGCCATGGCATTTGTTAGGTGTGCACGTTTGGCGTAGCGGAATGGGGGGAACGTAGAGTTCCGCGAATGTGCCGATTTTGCGCGGGTGGAAGAGTTGTTGGCCTGGGAACGGAGAGGGAGAGGGAGGGATGAGGTGGAGGAAAATGTACACGACGTCAGGGGGCACATACCATGCTTTCCGCTCCGTTTCTCTACACCACATGCTCGTCTATCCACTCGCTTCCCTCAACGACCAACTTCTTCGAATCGTTGTCGACGTCTAATTGATGGTGGACAATCACGGTAAGTGTTCACAAAACTTGTCAATGCGCTGTTCACGACTTACCGGCATACATCCTCGACTTCTCGAGCATACGTCGCATCTAGTGCTACATCTTGAAGGCGCCAACGCTGATGGCTTCGTGTACGGCAATCCCAGTCGAATGGGCGATGTTGGCGGCTATCGTGGTTGTGGTCAGAGGTAAGTCACCATCGTCAGCGTCACACGTTACACATTGATGTCGTCCTCATCGTTTCCCACAGCCACAACGCCCATCATCCAACTTCAGACACAACTCAGGTCAGTTGATGTCTATCGAGATTCGTGTCGACGACTTACTTTTGTAGGTTATGATGCCATTGTAAACGAGGTAGACACTATAAGACACAGGTAAGTGAATAATTCAAACGCGGAACGACGTTGACGAACCTTTTCAGGGTCTCAACGATGGCCCAGGGCGCTCGTTACGCGGAAGACGCGACTAACGCTCCTGGGTACAGGTTTTCAGGTGAGTAAAGACTGTATACTCGAGGTGAAGTGGACGAGACTGACGTACTTTTTGTAGAACCGACGTATTCACGACCTTCACACCTCCCAACGCGTATTCCGCCCATCCAAGCTACACGTCACGAAGCGGTAGTCGAGGTTCCGTGTAAACGATGCGGACAAGTCGATGATGGGGAACCTGAGGGGCAAGAGCAGCGTGGTAAGTAAGCCGGATGCAGCACTCCCGTTAACGAAAACTTACCGTGGTCATCAGCAGCATCACCACGAGTCTGCAGAAAAAAGGATATAAGCAAAGGTGAGTGAAACGTTGTCTATGACGAAAGAGACGTTGACATACCTGGTTGCCATTTAGCATTCCGTCACGTCTTCGCATTGAAGGAGGGGTTTAAAAACTCGGTACGCAACGTCAACACCAGCAACGATGGACGACGAGCAGACGACTTACCAGCGTGACGACGACGATTGGAGGACGACGAGGAGAAGGGAGTGGACGTCGACATCGAAAGGAGGGAGGAGAACGTATGTAAGTGGGTGCTGATGAAAGATATTGGACTGACTACCCCGTCTTTATAGCTCTTCTCGCTTGCGCGGTAAGTAGCCGGGTTGTGACGTGACGCAAAATCTTTACGGAAGAAGGGTCTCGTTTCGTGCAGGGTTCAGATCCTAGGAACCGGGGACGGAGGAAACAATCTTTTCGTAAGTTTCGTATCTACCCATTCCATTGGTTTCTTAATTCACTCCGGCCTCGTCTGGTGAATTTTTTATTAGGTATCACTTGAAGTACATTCAATTCATTTGCGAAAGAAGTACCGACTAACGCACACAGATAGATATCTTCATTATGCGGAATCACTCCCGTTTGCGAAAGGCGCAGAACGCTTGAAGAAAATACAGGCCAAGTAAAGTACGTACATACATCAGACCCTTGATCAACAAATTTCTGACAGTTGAATGTTCAGAATGCCGTTTTTCAATTCGGAATCGGGAGAGGAGAATGAGGACGCCTTCGGCGGCCATCTACACTCGAATGAATCGATGCGCTTTGGTACTTCCTAGCCAAGTGAGTGTTGTCATAATTCTACGACACGAAGAGTAAATTCTCAATTCTTCCTTTATCTCAGAAACACGCAAGTGTATCATAAACCAATGGTGAATTCGGACGATAAGTACTTTGGTGAGCACACACCCCCGCTCACAAACTTCTTACACCAGAACTTCTGATATCACAAGTGCAGGGACACCGGGGATACTACCCGAATAGAACCCTGACACGTCAAGATGGAATTTCCGTGTGTGCGGTTCAAGCGCGATGCAGAATCGGGGAAGGAGGAGCATATCCTTACTCATTGCTCGGAAGGTACGTCCACGTGCTCTGTTAATGTCTTGAACCACTTATACTACTAAGGAATTATGCAAAGAAATGTGAGATATTATTGTGTTCATCCGGCATAACTGCAAATGGAGCAATGTAAGGAATGGTACGAAATGCAGGAAACAACGCGCCTGCCGTGATATTTCGCTAACGGAGAGTTACAGGTATCCAGGCACGCAGATGGCATTGTTCTAAGGAAGACCCTGACGTGTAAAAGCGTCAGTTTCGCTAATTCGTTTCAAGCGCGATGGATACGGAATTGGGGGCGGGAGGAAGTTATAATTCCATGTACGTTCTCATGTGCTCGACTGTTATTTATTGTTGAGAAGTGTTGAATAGATTTAGAACTATATATGCGAGCTACACTTGGACGAAAATGATGTATTACGGATGGAGGAACTTAGAGGGCAGTTCGGAATACTGGTACGTTGCGCGCTGCACGCTGGTATCTTCCATTGACAAAAGTTCTGGAAAGTCAGGTACATACTTGGCAGGGTTTTGAAGAGGACCCTGACACGTAGAACTGTCAGCTTCACAAGGTTGTTTCAGGTGAGATGGTGAAATTAGATTCGGGGGAGGAGGAGATCATCCTCCTCACTTCCAATGTTCTCGCTCCACTGTGCTCGTTCGTCGTTGTGAAGTGTCTAAAATATGTAGGTATACGCCTACGAGTCATAGCTTGATAGAAATTGTACACTATGAATATAGGAAGCGAGAAATGCAAGGGACTTGAATGGGCGCGGCAATTCCGTGCTCGCATCTTCCATTGGCAAAAGTTCTCAAAGTCCAGGCACAGGGTTGGCGGGGTTCTCAGGAAGACCCTGATGCATAAAATTGCTCGTCTTGAGAATGTGTTTCAAGCGTAATGAAGAAATTAGAATCGGGGGAGGAGGAGATCATCCTCCTCACAATGGATATCTGCAATTCCGCACACTCGTTCATTGCTTGGATATGTCAAGGACATTTAGTAGTATGCATATGAGTTGCAAATAGTATAAATTGTACACTACGAATAGGGAAAGGTAGAGGATTGTACGGAATGCAGGGGATGATGGGCACAGCACGCCCAGTTTATACCTTCCGCTGGCGAAAGCGCTGGGAATTCAGGTACAGGTGTTACAGGGTTCCGAAAAAGAACCTGATGCATAGAAAGGTTTATTTTACGGATGCGTTCCAAGCGTGATGGAGAATCGGCTTGTCTATTCACTTTCAATCATTTTTGTACGACCGTCATCCTAGAATTTATATTGCAAATGACTATGTAAAACATGAGGGTACACAAGTAGTTCAAAGGGAAAGTAGGGGAAACAAAATGGGAGAAGAGCCGTGTTTGTAGGGCACATCCCCGCTCCAATCTTGCACTACACAAACACCCAGACTTCAAGACACGTGTAGTCCGATAATATATTCAACCAACACTTCAAGATGAATGGCTGGTTGTATGGGGCTGTTCTAAAAAAGCTATAGGTGCACACAATCACGAACGACGAGGAGACTGTAGACACGGTGATGTGGTATCCTCAGGTTTCTACTCATACAAGTGTCCCCGTCTGCATGCACTAAATTTCTAAATGTAAGAGATAAAAAATTGGGTTTGACGGGCAAGAACGGTCTCAAATGTACACACCAGGTGGCGACAGCTGACGACTTATCTCCCAGGAAGTTTCAACATGTGTCGAGTTGAGAGGTGTTTGCAAGACGTACACTGTAAACGTAAAAACAAGGTGCATGACATAATTTTGTTTCCTGCAGAGTAAGTACATACTCGATTGCCATAGATCGTCCTTGACAACAAAATCCCCACTAGATTTGCAGGGCAGCTGGGCCTGGAGAGTAGAAGTTATGGTAAGTATGGTAAAATATGGCAGAGACATTGAATTAGATACGAAGCGCGTGTATTTTCTGGAGTAGCTGGAAAAGACATGGTGATGAGAGCATTGTGACTAGCTATACAGTCATATGGGATTTACTTACCACAGGTGCCGGGGGAAAGATTTATATCCTGGAAAAATGGAACCTGGTACATAAGCAGAGTTAGCAAGGGCAAGAGTTTGAGTGGTGAGGGGGGGGCGAGGAATGGGGGGAAAACCTGAGTTGCAAAAAATCGAACACACAAAGTTTGATAGCTCCGAATTCTTGATTCGAGGTGCGTGTTCCTAGAATATTCTGCCGATCACTCTATTCCTGGAATGTTGGCGCAAGCTAAGCAAGGTCCCCGTGCATTGTTTGTCGGCTGGATACTTCCGGCCAAGTCACACCAAGATACTTACTCACGCTAAGCTTCGTTGATTTTCCTTGGCACCCAGAGGTATAAGTAGATTCGAAAATATGTGAATGCTCACCCTTCCCCTTGCCTCCATTATGCTCCTACGCTGCCCGGCTCTCATCTGCATTGTCGTTGCTTGGCCATTTGTTGTCACACTTTCACTCATCATCGCCATCCAGTCGGAGGTCGTTGTTATTGACGACGTTCACTTATTCCACCTTGGTGAGTTAATTTTTGTTTGTTCTTCTCCACGTTGACTAACAATTCTGTTTTGGGCCACACAGCTTTACTTTCCTCCACCACATCTGCGCTTGTCGTCTCAGCCGTTATGCATGCCTAAGCCATGCAAATGAGTTTGGTCTGTGATCCTTCACTTCCATTTGCTAATGAAGTCTCATAACAATATATTGCATCCCACAGAACTCGAAGTGACGAACTTTGGCAATGGGGGCAATTCCAATATGATTTTTGGTGTTCCGGGGATCGCTGTCATGAGGAAGTCTTCTCATGTAAGTTTTATATGTGTTCTCGCTGTCCTGAACCCCCCATTTATCTTGTTGCAGGCTTTGTGTCGATCTGTTCTTTGATTTTTCGACATCCGCGGATCGCTATCACGTGGCATGCCACCTGTTCCTCCAACCTTACCTCTGGATTGGCCCGACACAATGTATTGCTTTCCAGAAAATGCAGTTCTGCCGCTGTGTCTTCCCAACACCATGTCAAATCAATATTTGGATGTCCGGCAATCGCCTCATGATGTTACTGCATTTCCTTTCTACAACACATCCCCTCGTTGTTGAAATTCGATTTTTCGAGTTCCAGCAATCACCCTCCTGCTACCCATCTTCCTAGACATTGTAAGCTTGTTCATACACCCATCTTTGTTCTTCTTTTCTCATATCACCTTTAAGATTTACTCTTGGAATGGTTCTTTGATTTTCCCAAGTCCGGCCATGCTACGTGGCAGCACGTAGTGCTGCTTGTCTGTCACTCCAACCCCACGGTTCAAACTCTATTTTTCGAGTTCCGGCGATCACCTTCACGCCACAGGCTTTCTACCCAACCCTACCCATACATCTCATCGATTTACTTCATTCTTGGCCATTGCTACATGGCAGCACATAGTGCTGCTTGTCTGTCACTCCAACCCCATGGTTCCAACTCGATTTTTCGAGTTCCGGCGATCGCCCTCACGCCGCAGGCTTTCTACACAACCCTACCCTTGCCCTACCCATACACCTGATTGATTTACTTCATTCTTGGCCATCGCTCCTGCTGCTTCTCATTTTCTTTCTGTCACTCCAACCCCATGGTTCCAACTCGATTTTTTGAGTTCCGGCAATCGCCCTCACACCGCTTAATATTTGCACATCCCTACCCATACACCCAATCGATTTCCTCCGTTCTTTCCCTCATTCAGCCTTCGCTATGTGGCATGATATAGTTATCTTGTCGCTTTGTTTGCGTCGCTCCTCCCCACGGTTTAAACTCGATTTTTCGAGTTCCGGTGATCACCCTGACGCCGCTGGATTTCTACACATACGTGGCAGCACATAGCTTTGCATCACAAGTTCAAACTCGATTTTCTGAGTTTTGGTCACCACCCTCATGCCGCTGAATACGTACACATGCCTAACCACATTTCCTTCATTCTTTGGCTCTCATACATGCTTCGAGTTCGATTTCTTTGAGGCGAGCTCACTTTCTGCATGTGGCTATGTTGCGGTGCATATTCATGTCCGGCAATCGCTCGCACACCGCCATCGTCTTCCATGTATAAAGCTTTATCTATTCTTCATTCTTTGACTAATAATCTTTTCTAGATTTACTTCTGCGGAGAATGACTACAATGCTGCACGTTTATTATCCCTGCATCCCCCCGTGATCGCAAACAATGTACGTTGTTTTATATATCCACGCTCAACAACTCATTCATTTGGCATCTGAATAGACCATTCGACGAATGCACCTTTTCACCGCGGGAAAGCCTCTTCAGTCCTCAAACAGGTCCGCCCCGACATGGCCATCCTTTTGTGCATTGCCGTGTATTCTGTAAGTTTTTCATGTACTTTCCTTATTTTCTTTGTTTTCTGGTGTCTTTCTGTAGATAGTCTCTTTGCGCCAATGCGTGCAAGTCGTCTTCAAACATTCCCATCACTATTTCCTAAGCCCTCCAGGCCCACACTTTTCTTTGTTGTAAACAGTACCCCTTCACGTCAGTAGTCAGTAAAATACGGAAGACCGAACCACGTCTGGCTGTTGCATGAAAATTGCAATGGCTAGACATTTTTAATTGAAATGAGCTCCCTGCGGGGAGGCGAAACTATGATCTGACGTTGTAAAAAAGTTGAAAAAAGTTGAACTTATGCTTCAATTTTCGCTTGGCTTGACTTTTTTCCGATAGCCTGGCGACGCCCATACAGCCAACGTCCCTGGTTTTGGGGTCAGAAGAAATCCTTCTTGACACCCGGGAACTCTACTTCAGATGCGCTGTCATTTTGGAGAACTACTATCTACACGCAGAGCGACGATATGACAGGAAAATGGTATATCAAAAGAATGTATGAACTTCAAAGCAAAGCATCCTGCTCCCCGAACTCA